CAATGAGCTTTTTAGTCTTTTTATTAATGCTCCTCGAATTCCAAATGTTTTGTGATAGATACAGTTCAAAATTTCACTATTCCTTCATGTGTTGGGTAATGAAACTAATGTATGCGTAGGAACTTTGACTATTTAACTCAACTGTGAGGAAAACATGGCGTATACCCGTAGATGCCCCAAAAATATTATGCCCTTTAGGTGACCTCGAGTCCTGTCATGATATACACCAAGGATGGTTGCAGTTTTTGTACCAGAGCTAAGAGTTTGCTCAACGAGGAGAAAATTGAGTAAGTATGTTTCACTGGACTGCTTCTACACGTCGTTGTCATAGGTGTAGGTAGACGAGTTGAGTTCGGCATCATGTTTGCTTGTGCAAAATCGTTATTCTTTTTTTTATTTGTAGTTGGTAACAAAGCGTTTCGAGGGTGTGATTCGCTGGGACAGAAAGCGACTTTTCCGCTTTTCGCATGCGAAATTATCTTTCGCTGCGAGAACCCACGTCCACTCTTAAACTGGTGGACACGAGGTTCACACAGCAAAAAGTTTCGCGCGCGAAACGCGGAATCGCTTCCCGTTCCGGCGAACACCCGCGTTTTGAGGTGTGCACTTATGGTTAGGCCGATGTTTGCGAATCGAGCGATTCGCTAGCGAATCGCTGGATCCGAGCGTTGCGCCAGCGAATCGAACGTTGCACCAGCGACACTGTTTGAAAGTGACCCAACGTTTAAAGGAAGGCCCGCCACTTTCAAACAGTGTGGTCCTTTAAAGTGGACTTCCTTTAAACGTTGGGTCCCGCCACTTTCAAACAGTGTCGAGTCGCTGGTACATCGTTCGACTCGCTGGTGCATCGTTCGATTCGCTGGTGCAACGTTCGATTCGCTGGCGCAACGCTCGGATCCAGCGATTCGCTAGCGAATCGCTCGATTCGCAAACTATGACGCCTTAGGGTAGTGTCGTTAGGACATGAAGCGAGCTCTCCGCTCTCACAGCCAAAATTCCCTCGTTGAGGAAAGCATAAGGTCCACCACTGATCATAAGTGGGGCTTGGGTTTTCACAGCGAAAAGTAAAAAGAATCGCTTTCTTTCCAAGCGACCCACACCCTGCACGTACCTTATATGGTAATATCACTGTGTAATACAGATACGATGGTTTAGGTACACCGAATGTAATATAGATCGACTGAAAGAAACGGATCCGAAACAGTATAAACCTCGAGTCAATGGTCTAGTTTATATGACGAGGCAAACGACAATGCCACAGGTTGGTTATGTCCTACTAATTATGTTTCAGAGTTAATTATTTGTGCTTATTTTAACAGGTACAGAAGAGTGAGGGATAAGACCTGTTGATTTGTGGAAGAGCGAGGCTTTTTTTTCTGAATCATGAGAAGGAAACATCGCTATGGTCTCTTTCCCAACGATTTTGAAAAATTCCATTGAACGCTTTTTCACCTTCCATTGAATTCCAAGTTTTCCTTGGCGACGCGTGTTTTGGCATTTTGTACCGCGTGGGACAGGAGCGACCTTGCGAGCGCACCGTCCTCACACTTCCGCTTATTTTCTGT